TCGAGTCTAATGAACGAATGGGGTCTCTGGACAAAAAAAAAAAAGAGGGAAAGGAAATAAAAAAGCTTACCGTCGCTTTTGCGGTCAGTTACTTTCCACCCTTTGCTGCTCTTTTTACCCCCTATACCCTATGGTTCCTCTTTGGTACATCGTGCACGAATTCCAACAAGAAGTAGGTAAGCATCCAATGGTTGAGAGAGTATCTCTTTGTTGAGAACGTCCAGAAAATTAAGACAACACTGAATTAAGAAAGGCGTTTCTCTCCCAATTTTTTTTTACTCGACAACTACTCGTAATATCTTGTTCAAACTTTGTACGTTTATTTGCATGTGTTCCAAGAAAGCTTATATAATTTTTTTTTTTTTTTTTGTAAATGCAAGGCATCCTTGATTGTTTTAAATTCTGTTGATTCGTATTATTGCACGTTCGAATATTTTTGAAAATCTGTATGTGTACCCCAACATTTATTTATGAAAAATGGCAAAAATATTAATGGAGGTATATACATATAATACATGGGTGAAATATTCATATCAGACTCTTTGTATTATCTAGAAGAATACCCACGTATTAATATTACTTTTCGGCCATAAAAAGGGGTGTCTCCCCTTATCCTTTACCCTGCTGAATTAATTAGTAGTAAGAAGTAGCTCAGTGCTGAATTAATTTCACAATTCATTCTTTAATATTTACATTTATAAATGACTGTAAAAATTAAACAAAGAAGTAAAATATACTATAGAATTATCTGCAAATATGATGTATACTTTTCTTTTTATCTATGTCCAAAGGGGTGACTAGATTAAGTCATTCTACTCATACGTTCCCCCTTAAATGACTAATCCTGTGAATATATAGGGTGGGCCACGCAACTGCTAGAGAAAAATGTCAAACAATGAATGATTCGAAGAGTACTTGCAAAGATCATTCTACAAAAAAGTCTTGGAGCAAAGTAATAAAAAAAAATGATTAATTCGTAGATCATCCAGACATTAATGTTTATTATCAAACTAAAAACATTATTATATATGTAAACCATCTTTCTCGACGAACACAATTATTTAAAATATCTCATTTTTTATCAATTCACCACAATATATTTTAAACAGAACGTTGAATGGATTCTATGCAAAAGAATATGCATTTTAATTTGAAAAAATAATGCACTTGCACCATTGCGCGTATAATAAAATATATGGTCCTACGGGTGTAGTATTTTTCGAGCCATTCGTCTTTTTCCTTTGACATTTCTCTCCAAATGCATTGCTAACGGAGTTATGGCCCGAAACAGCTGCGCCAGCCACTCAGTAATTTATTTTTGATACCTCTTAATTTTCTCAATTTCATAGAAAATAACATCAAGATTGAATAAAGCAACGCGACTGTAGAAATGTGGCGGTAGTACAGTGAGCACTTATCGACCCGCTGAGAACGTTTTCCCAGCGAAAACAAAACGAAAAAAAAAGGAGGAGAAATTAACAACACCGATGTCTGAAATCAAGCATGACACACGTTCGAGCTGGGTAATGGGACGGATGTCTATGTAAAAGTGAGTAAGAAAAAGGGTAATCCAATTACGGATAATCGTTGTGTTCGTTCGGAGCTCGTACGAGGCATTCGAGCGCGATATCGAGTGATTAAAAATAATATGCGAGCGCGCGTGATCGGAAGTTTGCTCGCGTGTAAGCCAACACGGCCAAAGTACGAGTCACACCGCTTGTTGGCTTTGATTCCCGCTTTTCCACCTTGCTCTTTCCCTCTTTAACCCTGCACGAACGTAAGTGCCAACCCTCTCGTCGATGTACCAGAACCCGTTCGTGCATGAATTCTATACAAACGCTGTGTCCACTACGTGGAAAGTGTGATTAATCGACGGAATAATGGTCTCCCTTTTCACTTTTCAGCCGTTGCTTCAATCGCTTTTCGCCCGATGGTATTCGAACGTACTTTGCAAGCTTAATCTCGAAACATCCGCCCAATATCTCTTTGATACGCGAACAAATTAATTTAAATACGGCGCATACATCATTACGATGTGTTTTGTAAAGTTAAATAGTCAAAGAATAAAATTCCCGTCGATCCCGATAACTCAGTAGAACGAGTACGCGTTTTGCGACTTCGATTCCTCTTCTTGATCACGTTTACGTTATTGTTCACTGATCTTCGCTGTCCTAATCGGTGATTCGATTTCTTCTTGAAGCAGTGCACTACTCCAGCTACGAATGATTCTCTTCTCATAGCATTCCTAGAGTTTCAGCCATTGGTAATAGAATCGTATGGGAGAATACGGTGCAACGAATGGTATAATACGCGAGAAAGCACCGCAAGAGTTTCGTTTCGCATAATCCGTCCATGGTTTGGAAGACTGCGACACGAATTCGCTGTCGGTAAAGTGCATGTACGCGTTATCAGCAACGGGTTAGGTCACAGACTGCAATTCGACGTAGGGATCGTCGGCAAAGTCATTTCCGTGACCTCGGTAAGGACTTACCTTCGTTTATCATGCTTTATTCGTCGATAAAATAGAAGGGTTAAAACAGTCGGTAAAAAAAATTAAATACATTTCAAAATCAATAATATGTAATTATGGAATAAAAGTGGAAATCGACCACATTACTTCCTTGATTCGTTCGAGTCTTCCCAAGGTGTTTTCACCTTGTTTATATGGTAATATAAATACCACCTTGTAACGAAGACAATGTGATAACAAAATTAAAAAATAACGCGTGAAAATAATTTAAATATACTTTTCTAGAGCTATCCTCGCACAATTTCACTCGCAAAAACCAGTAAAACGTTTCGATTCGAGGGAAAAATAGATCGCACTGCTCGAGAATGGGGAATCTATATGTACATCATTCTTCATTATTGGTTGTTAAAGGGTACAAACTTATCAGAAATTAAACTGCAATCGTGAGAAGCTGCGACGTGTGCAAGAAGAAACAAAAAGTATCATAACAACTGTAATATAATGTGCCTTTGATATTCAGTGAGCAGCAAGTATAACGCGTGACTGCACTTAAAATATTTATAGGTGTCCATAGAATATCAATATTCTATTGAAATTACCATTATGCATTCACGTTTAATCTAATCTCATAATTATTCATCTCACAGACTATCTCATAAACAGTGTCATGCATAAAAATAAACTAAAACAGGCAAAAAAATAAAGAAAAAATACTTAATATTGGCAGAAGAATGCAAATAAAATAACTTGTTTTCAGATAAAACAACGATTAGAAAACATTTACAAGATCCATTCGCGAAGTGTTCCTCCCCGATTTTAATGAAATTTTTCAGATTTCTAAAACGTATGTACAAGAAATCTAGTGTTTTATGACAACTAGTTTTGTGTATGATCATATTTTTAAACGTGTATATGGAAAACATTTATGATTAATATTTCTCCTCCAATGAACTGATATAAAACAATTTTATTATCTAAATGTAATCAGTTATGTTTTAAAGATTGAACAACGAGTAAAAATAATAATAAAATAAACCGAAATATTAAGCAACAAAATATGCTTTATAATAGATGAATACACACAAAAAGTTGATTTCATCTTGGGGTATAGCGGTGCATATTTGCTAGATCAATAAGTGGGATACAATCTTCGCAAACTCTCGGACGTTATAGGGTACATACTTTGTAAACCCATCGTGAACATTGCAACCCCTCCACCGTATTCCGGGGCAGTCTATTGCATATTACTCTAGATCGTAGTTGATTACTTTAAAACATCACAACACAAACTTCAGCGTATGTGTGTTCGCCTATACCGGCAACGAAAGATCTGTTATTCCATTAAATAATTTTTCAATCTGTTTCAAAATTCTGTTCCATAGTCAGAAATATTAATAAGTAATATTTTGTTTTTCTTCGACGTTAAAAGAACTTTTATTACTTATTTAAATTACAAATATCATACTAAGAATATAAACTATTTTAATCATTTTGAATAACTATATTAATATAGAAGTAAAAAAAACTTACAGAAACTACTATTATGCGTCGCAAGTCGATAAACTGTATCTGGGTTAATCGCGCTTGGAGACATACATTACTGTACTAACAGATATTTGCATTATGTCTGTATCAAATACCTATTAATTTCATCAGAATTTAATTGTACATAAGTTTTCTCTAAAGAGGTTTTTAGTAAAGTTGAAAACGAATATTATTCAAACAAATAGTACTTAAAAGAATGTTGTCATCTAGTAAATTCTCAAGAAAATATTAAATTAATTAAAAGAACTTCCCTGCACCTTTAACAGTTTTCAAGACAGTATTAGGGTGAGAAACTTTATCAGAATTACCCCCATTTAACTTATATTATTATCATTAAAAAAAAAAACGTATCACGTATTTTTAACTACCCTGGAAACCTGAGAAATTTCATAACAATCGGTGTAGAATACTTTGCAGACGTTTCTTGGTAGCGCAATGAAAATAATATTTAAAAAATCAGCGTATATGCTAGAGAAGGGTCAGTTTCACTTTGCGCCAACACGTTCAATTATTCAGATTCGTCAACAAAAAAAAGGTTGCAAAAATATCCAGTAACGTTACACGTGAAATAAATAATACTCCTGGAAGATATAATATGACAAGAACCACACGATCGCGTATTAATGATTTCTACGAAAGGTCGGAGAACTGGTATTTTATCGCGCAATTACAATACAATTTACGCAGACAATAAACGTTATCAATATCCCGACTGTGTAACGATTCGCGACAATGCTCGACATTGTTCGATAGATGTAAGGAAATATAAAGATTTCGTAAACTAATGATCTTAAGTACTACAAAGCGTGATGCATTCAGGCAAAGAGGTGATAATAATTAATTCTATAAGAGCGAATCGTTAGAAAGTAGATAACGTAAAATAAGAGCATTGGATGGAAGTCGCGTGTGTTCGTGTTTCGGGAAGGTGCACATTACTGGATACGCGTGTGAAAAATAAATAAAATATAACCAAAAATAAACATACGTTCGTTTGAAGTTAGTGTCTGAACGTTTTCGCTCATCCCCTCTTGGGACGGCTCCGTCGGTACGCACCTGTATCCAATCTCAATGTCGATCCTCTTTAAGCTCCCTCTGTAAATAAACAGAAAAAAAACCTTAATCGTCTTGGAACGATTTATATTTATAGTCGGTTTAAGGAACAAATACAATTTGATTACATCGCGACCGTATGCAAGGACAACGTTTTCATAATTCAAAAGTATAAAATAGTTTTAAAAATGCATGATTTATAATTACCAAGTTATTTAACGAGATTGAGCGGTCAGAGGAATGAGAGGAGTTCAACAATTTAGCTAATTTTTACATTAAACAGATTTTTGCACAGCTTATTGCACAGCTACTCTGTAATTAAATATTTTAAAATGGATGAAATTAACTGTTGATTTTATTGATCATATGTTGATTTTATTAATCTATTATTCGAATAAAGTGTTGCGTATTGCTGCCCTCTGATAACAAATGCTGGATCATTGAAGACCCATTTCTCAAGCCTATTTTATCTCAGAATAGATCCATGTGTTTACACTGCAGTTGTACATACAACACCACTCCCATTCCCACCCACATTCGTATCTTTAGAACGATCGGATTCTGTTTCTGCGGCGAAAGAATAATTTATACCACAACACCGATCAGGAAAAATTGAGGTACATATCTCGATATCAGTATTGCAAAAGCTAAAAATCCTAATCTAATATTGATTAGTCACGTTGCAAATGCAATTGTATGTACGAAAACACATTATAGATCAAAGCAACTTTGATAAGAAAGTTAATGTAATATATATTCAACATGTCGTTTTAAAGCTATTTTAATTAAAAATAACAATTATTTAAACAAAAGAATATTTTAATTAATATATTGATTTAAACATTTATGTATTGTTTTATGAAACCTTTGCGAACGGTGTTTGCATACAGCAGAGAAGATAATTTTACAATTATGGACGTATATCGAGAAATTCTCTACAAAAACCGCTGTCACAAATCAACAAAAATTAATTCCCTTAATATATGTGCAACAATCCATTAAATTAAAATTAAATGTACACATCGGATAAAATAATTTTCAGTTACACGTTATTTTTCATCATTTCCCTATTGTTTGTACTCCAAAATTTAATGTGAATTAAGCCCGCAATGAATAAAATTTAACTTAATTTTTCCGGAAAAAAATTTGTTTATTTTACGATTCAATATTCATGTTTTAAGTTTACCCATTTAAGCCGGCAAGAGAAAACTATCGTTATCCATAGACTGATTTTACTAAAAATCTAATCAGATCTTGAAATAAGAATATATAATTTAAATAATTAACACGTGATCAGGGAATCTTAAAACGTATTTTTCTCGGAAAATATAAAACGAACTAGGGATTTGAATTGAAGCACTTCCTCTACACGTGCATTGTACATTTGCCACTCACTTACTTTTACATGTTTTTGAAAAAACAACAATTTCGTATCGTGAATGTAATGTAAAGCAATCCGATCTAACACTTTGTTTAAAAATGGGTATAGAAGTAATTTCACTATGGGTCAGGTATGATTCGGAGTCGTGCGTGCGAATGTCACGTAGTCCGTTGTCTGAGGGTTAAGGGCATAACAGCACTCGAATACCACGCGTTACAGACGCACCGGTTAGCATTAAATAATGCGACTATTTAGGAACACCATAAAATCGATACTTTTCCTTTAGAAAGTTCGCGGAAATGGGGAAAAACAGAGGACCCACGCACCCACGAGGTACGAGCAGTAAAAGGTCAGTAACAATTCTAACGGAGCTCCGTATAAATATTCAAGCAAAGGTCAAACCAAAACGCGCAAGACAAAAACAACGAAGTACACACCGTGAAACGACGATGGAAAGCACGTCGAAATACGAGAGGTTATATGTACGTACTGACGCGCTCGACTGACATGCGACGCATGCTTGCCTTCGAATGTTTCGTAGGATTTGCATTGTTGTATTTCGAACGACATCATGTGTTACGACGTTCATTGTTGCATCGGCAATGCGTAATTAATTCAGTATGCGATGTAAACAAATTGATTGGCCCCTTGTTTGGAGGGCGACCGTAGAAAGGCAGAACAAACGATTACGCACGAAATAGCAAAACACTTACCACGATTTTCGTATTCACGTCGGCCAATCGAATATCAACATCCGTGTTTTGTCGTTACATCGTAAACCATCGTACACTGCGTCTATCACTACACACTGATTTTTAGAAAAACTTGGGTAAAATATATAAAAAAGGCAACAATTAGGAAACTGACAAGAAAGTCGCCATAGCGGTGTTAGTACTGGGCGGCCATATTGCCTTGGCGTCCCCCACCCGACATCTGGCGGAGACTCCCGAAAATAGCCGGTTACCCACGAAGAGTAAAACCGTAGTCGAAGTTCGAACGAGTAAAGTAACATACTGAACGATTTTTTTTCATTTATCCAAGTTTTTTCTATTGATTATCATTATCGAAATGCAATTTATCAATCGGAAAGTATGACTGAGCAAGTGTATCGCAAATTTAACGATATTTAAAGCAGAATATAACAGTAATTCAAGCATTTGTGGCAGTCGGTGTATGGTTTTCTTCCTAACCTACCTTCGGATTTAACGGAAAGCAAGGATACACGAATTTTCCACTATCCAATAATTAACAGTACGAGTAAATGTGCAGCACGTTATATACTGCAAGCGTATGATTGACAATGTGAGTAATATTCATTTTTATATTATTTTACATCGTCTTTAATCAAGAGATCTCAAGTGAAAACTACGGTCACAGACCTCGTATACTTCATCTGTGCTACGACGTGCGTATTACAAGAGAATGTTCATATATATTTCTTCTAAAACAATGAATCTTTACCTTATGATTGAAAAATATCGATCTGTGTGAAATCCAATTGCTAGTTCTGTTTCTTATTTCGTCTCGATGATATACACCATCTTGGTTTCTCGAATGAAATTTATACGGTCGTTTGAAATGTTCTGCGCTTTCAGGTTATAGGTGGCGCCACATACAATATATTCACATAAAATATGTGTTTGTAACACATACGCCATACTTTTTCTGTATTTTAATTAAAGTGTATTTAAACATATTATATAAAACAGAGAAACTTTAATATTATATTTTTACTCCTTAAATATTTAAACATAGAATTCAATATTATGCACATACTTTGCATAGAGTAATGTTTCCATATCAAATATAATCGGATGTTTAATTCGCTAGTCACGTTGCAATTGTGTATTTTGATATACCACGATACGCAACGAAACTGAAATGGTGAACATCGCAGGAAACAAGTTTACCATCGTTTTAATTCCCTCACTAAATGTAATTGTTTACGAATGTATAACACAACAAAATAATATTAATGCGCTTGATAATTACGATTGCGTAAATCGTTAATTGTCGATGCAGTATACAAAGTGACAGCTTTAACTAAATTTCCTTTTGACGATACGAAAAAGAAATAAACCAGATCGTTCGTTTCAAAGGGGTAAATTTTATTTTTTCAATAACTTTGTATAACAAACAATCACGTTTCGGTTCAAATATGGAGATATTCTAATTTAGATTTCCTCGTTTTATTGCTAACGATTACCTTGCAACCAACAGTAGGAAATTTTTACCAATTCCGAATTGCCCCGGCAGAGTACTTAACAGCAGCTATTTACTAAACCTTAGCTTTGAGAAAACTCAAAGTAGAACGCGTAATTTTAATGAAACTCGTGCGTCTAAGTTTATGACTCACGTCAAATGTCGCGTGCTACAAATTGTGAGGATCACGGGTTACGTGTTTCTCAAGTAGAGAATTTTGCGTTCGTTGTACGGAGACCATCGTGTTAAGAGTCGTTACGTGAGTTTGGTTATCCGCTGCCATACGAAAGCACCTAACTTCCTTAACGAACTCTCAAACGAAGTTTGGTGACTTCCTGCTTCTATTTCAGTCTCGCATCGCAAGCTTAATTAGTGTCAACAATTTCCAGTTACTATTTAGACCAATAGCTTCTTTCCTCGCCACATTTCTATCCCTTTTGAATTAGGTGTTCAAGGAACGCGAAGGATCCCAAATAATCAGTTGCAACCGGCCCAGTCTTCACATCGTTGAAAATTTGTAATAACACGTTGACTGCCGGACCAATTTCGTAAAATTTTCAAGATCATCAAGAGTGAGTTCAATACAGATTTATTTTCTTTAACGTATCATATGGAATGATATATGTCAAAAATTTCTTATCTTTTTCTCTAAACAACAAGGACAATTTTTTTCTCAAAGAACGTTCACAAAGATCCAAGCAACTTTAATCATTTGAAACGCATCATCAAAAATATGTACTGTCTGGCATTGGTTCGGTGAAACGGTAAACATATTTTGTTGACTAATTCTGGAAGCTTTTCTGGAATTGTCGTCGTCAGTTGTTCCAATTGAGAACAATATTTCTCTGAATTAATGGTCTGTTTGTGTGGCAAACGCTCGTAGTAAATAATACCCTTCAAATCCGACCATACACGTAACATAACTTTCCTTGAATGTAAACCTGTTTTTGGCGTGGTTAACGGAGTTTCACCTTGCTGAGCCCCTCGTTGTTTCTGTTGAATATTGTAATAAATTATCCATTTCTCATCGTCCGTAATCAAGCACTCCGACACTAGTTTGTTTTCATTTCTTCTCAGAATTGAATCGCAAGTATAAATTTCGATCGATAACATTGTTCCCGCTCAAATTACGAAGGATCGTATTTGCTAATTAGTCAAGATTCTTCGATTGATTTTTAAATAGTTATTAAACAGAAATGACAGAATCAGGAAATTCCTGTTTCAATATCCATAGAATAGAATTAATGACAGTTATGTCCATTCGTTTGCGTATTGTCATGGTCATATTTACTTGGATTAATTTCAATATTTGGCAAAGGATATTTTTAAGGGCGAAATACGCGAAACCGCATTACAAATCCACTTTATGGGTTAAACATTTGAAATTAATTTTAATGATTGAGAACATTGACTTTGAATTCCGACGAAGAGTAATTATGCCTCATGGAAAGAACTTTGT